AAAATTGCCCATAAAAAATAAGTTTTTTGACCTTAATTATGGACGCTTCCCTCTTTACAAGATCCATTAAATACAACTTTATACTGCTTACGAGAAGACGATGAAGACGCATGTCCATAACAATTACAGTGCTAGTTAGAACTTTAAATCATAAAGATCTAAGGGGCACTGCCATTGCGCCCGTAACCCCGAGACTTAAGTTGACAAGTCCCATGTGCCAGTAATTTCATCAGCGTCCTTCCAAACAGGAACGCAGTAAAATTTCAAAGCGTAAAGCACAACGTGTTGATGACTGTATAATATTGTTGTAACAAACAACATCGAAATGTAGTCCTTGGGTATGTAACTCTAATGCTGAATGCATGGCTCGGTACACATTCTTTATATTAAATCCCGGTACAAACTCTTAACAGCAAAGTAAGCCCTTTAAAGTACCACGCGGGTCGAAACCGGTTGCGCTGGAGTTTGTCCTTTGCCTAACCTAACCCACATACGGCGTACTCCGGGCTTAGAGGTCGACTGAGGGCAAATCGAGGTCAAACATCTTAATTGCCCTTTTGAGGTTTCTTGATACACATGGCGGAGGCTTTTTGGAGCATATATAAATATTTTTTTAAGTTTATTAAATGTCACAATGTTTAACCACCATGATATTCAATTATTTTTGTGCAATAACTCTAATAGTTCTTTCTTAGTGTTCATCTTGATCTTTGTATTAATAATAATTCTAAATTAGGCGTATCACACACAGCAAAAATTGATGACAAAATTTTAATGTCTTATATATTTTCAATATTTATAATATGACTCTTATATACTTTATTATTTATTTGTCCTATGATTTAGCCAAAATATTCAGTTGTTATTATAATTATTTTAAAACAATTAGAAACATTGGAAAGTATTTTTTCCCCTTGCAACATTTTTTTATTATTGGTTTTTAAGGAAATAAATATTTAATAGATTAGATACTTTATGTTAATCAGTTTTATTGAAAAGTTACATTGAAAAAAATTTCAACGTATTTTTAATCATTCATTAATCCAGCCTCCTGGATGCTAAAGGTTGAGCATGAAATCGCTCGTTTCAGACTTTTTTTACTTTAAAATAAGTTTTCACAAACTGCTGGTCATAACGTGTCCGATATTCGCACATTTATAGTTTATGCAACAAGGGCAGAGCGCCACCTTCTAAAGAAATGAAACTTACGCTATCTAGAACGGATAGATCGAAAGAGTGACCTTTGCAATTGGATTTCGGATTCCTTGAGTGAACGTTCGATTCGAGTGGTTAAGGCTACTCTTCCGAACATAGGGCGATATAGTTCCTCAGGGTTCTGTACTGTCCGCAACCCTCTTTCTGCTGCATATAAACGATATGCTGATTCCAGGTACCTTTGGATATGCTGATGACAGCACAGTCGTGGACAGGTACTTGACCAATGCTAGGGTCAGCGGAGAAGAAAGCCAGTCTTGTCGAGAGTACATGGTTAGTCGTTTGAATTTGACACTTAAGGCAGTCTCCGATTGGGGCGATGCCAATCTTGTCAAATTTAATACTACCAAAATGCAGGCGTGTGTTTTCTCCACTAAACGAAGTCCCTTTCACCTGACTCCGACTTTTTGTGATATATCCATACCGATAGACGATCTTCACCTACTTGGAATGGATCTGTCGTCCAATCTGAACTTCGGCAGTTAAATTGAATCCATGTCTAAGAATGCAGCCAAGAAGCTTGGCATCCTTTCCAAGGTGAGGCGATACTTCACACCGGAACAGTTACTTCAATATACCAAGCACAAGTCCGGTCGTGTTTGGAGTAATGCTGCCACTCATGGGATGGCTCTGATGAATACCAACTGCCCACCTTCGATTCAATAGATAAGCGTGCTAAGAGGCTTATAGGTGACTCGGAACTATTAGAGGCGAAGCTGCAGAGCCTTGAACACCGCCGTAGAGTTGCCAGTTTATCGGTATTCTACAGGATATATCACGGAGAGTGTGCGATGGAATTACATAATTTGATTCCGCCTTCCCCTTTTCATCATCGGGAGACTAGACGTGGGCAGGGGTTCCACCCCTATGTTGTGGATATTCCCCGGATTCGCACGAAGCGTTTTGCTTCCACATTTGTATGGCGAGCGGCTAGAGAGTGGAATTCCCTGCCTGCAGACTTGTTCCCCGAACGCTATAACTTGGACCTTTTCAAGGCGAGAGTGAATAGGCATTATTTAGGCGTGCATGCTACATCCTCGACCTCATCGTCACTTTCCATCAGGTGAGATGGAAGTCAAATGCGCACTTATTTTTTGTAAAAAAAAAAGAGTATTTGTGACAAGGCAGTGCTTTACATGTTTTGATGCAATAACATCAAAACGGGCTTTGTGTGCCGAATAACAAAGGTTTGTTGCTCAAAACGCTTCAATTTTGATCCACCAATGATCCGGATCAGCGAAATTATATCCAAACTTTAAAATTATCATCAACTTAACCATATAACGGAAATAGGATCTAAGGCAATCGTCACTGAGCGCGGTTACATAAACGATGCAACGGAACACAATATGACTATCGCTATTTTGTATGCAAGACGCCGCCGGCACAACGTATAATGTAAATTACGTATTTGCATGAACAATATTACATGTCCCCCCTTTCTGCTTTGTGCTATTAATAGTACAGGTTACATTGATCGTATGTACAATATTTAGTACCAGTAGAGCTCCTTGTCCTCCTCCTATTTCTGCCGCCAAGAAGGAAATGTGTGTATTATTGTGTTCCGGTTTTGAAGGGGTGCTGATGAATACAGGCGCTTGTCAACTTATGTCTTATAACTGCCTCCGTGGCCGAACGGTTACCATGCCGGACTGCCACGCACAGGTCCCAGGTTCGATTCCCGGACCGAGAGAAATAGTTGTATGGCCTACAATTATTTCTCTCGTGAGTTTGGGTGTAGGTAATTTGTGGTTGTCTATGTGTGTGTCCATGGCACCCGCGACACAGGGTTTCCCTAGTGCGGGGCTGTGTTGAGTGTGTGCGTTATTTATATTATTATCTATTATTTATGTCTCACGGCTACGGACGCGATGGCAAAGCGCCTCCGGTTTTTGCGGCTTAAGGCTCTGAGTGGCACTGCAACTGTTATGAATCGGCGTGTAGCTTACTATCAGGCTCATGACTTGTTCCTCCTGTCATTTAGAGTTATAAATAAAAAAATCGCCATCTGTATGTTGATCTGTGGGGGGACCCAACAGGTGCTTAGCGGAATAGCACTAGCGACAGACAGGTGAATATGATGATGCTGCAAGTTTCACAACGACGTGTAACTTTAACGTTTGAGCAAGTGGTGGTGGTTAGTAAACTAAACTAACTGCACATTATAGTTAGATACAAGAAGCTTTTGTGCTCTGACTAAAAAAAATATATTTGAAATAAACAGCATGTGAGTTTTTTAACCGACTTCAAAAAAAGGAGGAGGTTCTCAATTAGTCTGTACGTTTTTTTTGTTTTTTTTTTGGATGTATGTTACGCGATAACTCCGCCATTTGTGAACCGATATTGATGATTCTTTTTTGTTGAAGACGGTGCCTCAGAAGTGGTCCCATTTCAATTTGTAGAAAATATTCCACCTCTAAGACTGGTAAACTAGGAGATGAATAACTTTTGAGGTCGGTTTTTTAACCGGAGTTCAGGCTATTTATGACACCAAGTAACGGGGCAAGCAAGTCGTGCCCTTGGTGGTAAGCGATACGCCTGTCCTTAGCAGTTGCATTGCCACTCAGAGCTTTAAATCGCAAAGACTTAAGGGGCAAATCCGCTGCGTCCGTCACCCTGAGACATTGACAAGTTCTATGTGTCTGTAAATTTACAAGCACCCTTACCCTTCAAAACCGAAGCATATTAGTGCTCACATTCCTTCTCTGTACGAACTCTTCCACAATGAGCTCTACTACTTCTAAATATTACCTACTGATATTAATCAGTTTTACTAGCAGTAGAGCTCATTGTCAAAGTGTTTGCCCAGGGAAGTACTGCCACCTTAATTATTTCTGCCGCCAAGCAGTAATGTCAGCATTACTGTGTTCCGGTTTTGAAGGGTTAAGGGGCTGGTGAAATTACAGGCACATGGGACTTGTCTACTTATGTCTCAGTGTGACGGGCGCAGTGGTAGTGCCCATGAAATCTTTGCAATTGAAGGCACTGGAACTGTTATGGACAGGCGTGTACCTTATCATCAGGTGCACGACTTGTTCGTCCCGTCAATTGATGTTATTAAAAAAAATCCAGTGAATTGCTTGATAAATTTTAATAGTATTCAACGTACACTATTTAAACAAAGCAAAATTATTTATGCTTATTAATCTACTTGTACCTACACCTTATACGAAAATATCCGTCAAATGTAAAACAAAAATAACTTTTTCATCGTACATTCTAATCGAACCTGTATCGAAACCATGGACAGTTATATTGATTCGATCTCAATTGGTTTCTGTTACTCAATCGTGAACTCTATTGTTGTCGCAATAAGGCATAAAATATCAACCATCTTATGGTTGAAGAAAAAGTATATCTAAGAGCAGCGCTGTTGCAGACAACTGACCCTGTTCTAGATCGAAGATGTTATATACCCTGTGTTTTTATTGATCTTTCATCGATTCCGCAAATACTGAACGGATTTCCTGTGTCTGTTACTGATTCTAGGTTATATCTTATTGGCTTATACTTACTTCTGAGTACAGACCCGCCTTAACATTCCAAGCCTTGTAAATGTCGACTTCGAAAAAAAATGTATACGTTTTCCACTAAAACATAGACACCTAACTAATACAATGATAAATATCTATACCACTATGATGTTTATTGTACAACTAAGTTATAAAAACAGGATAAGTTTCGAGTATATGGCGGTCGAAATTGAGCCCTTAAGGTACTCAGTTGCATATTTGCAACTAAGAGTTCCAATGCATTTAATGTTATAACATAAATTTCTTTTACAGGTAAAATAGCAAACGATGATGACGATAGCCTTTCATCACCAAACTCTGCTTCGGCACCAGTACCCGTGCCTCGTGCAGCAGCGACAATTGCCCCACTTACTACTTCCACCAGAGACACCAACGAAATGAACCTACATCGCGAAGATATAACAACTAAAGCTACTGAAATCAAAGACCCGGAACCGGCAGAAAACAAACAGCCCAGATTATTAAATCTAAACGTAGAAGACTTGCAAAGTTTCGCAAATGCTTTACACAATGATACAAGGAAAAATGAAAAGAAAATGCCAGATCTGAGTGACGTCAATCTCGATGATGATGATGAGGAGTCTCCAAGGATGACGACTGATGAACATGATCATAAAAATCATAGAGATAAACAAATTGCGGATAAGTTTTATACGAATCTTCAAGTGCCATTCCACCCTTTGTTATCCATAGACAGACCTGCATCTTCTGAAGATACTGATATGTGTAAAGAGAATGGGATTCCATATAAAGTTAGTATTATTCTTAGTACCGTACTCAGTATATATTAGAGCCACCAATTTCAAATTGATTTGATCCTATTATAGTAATCCCAAAGACCACGTATGGTACTTGGTGTAACAGGCTGGTGTCCGCAACTCGACGTCAAGGTGCCTTTTTTACGTGTAAAGAAAGAAGACTTATGAAGACCGTGGTCTATTTCTAGTTTTGTTTTTTGCCAATATAATTTAAAAGTGTTTGAAAAACCTTAAGTATATTCCGATATTTCTTTCTTAATCTAATATGTGTTAATCTGTTAATACAGATTAACACCTCTATATATCCACCTCGATTGCACACACCCTATAATAATTTATAGAGTATGTGCAATCGAGTTGATAGAGCATCATCAATAATACGTAATTGTGATTTAAGTAAAAAACTATCTGAAAATAAAAAAGAAACGAACCACGCTTCGCTATCTAACTAAATAGGTTACGGGTCCAACATGCGTCAAATGTACAGACGTAATTTGACTAAATCGCGTGGAAATTGCGATAGTTTTGCGCTTGGTCGATTGTAATAAACAAAAATAGTTCTGTGTAGGCGCATTCTTTTAGTTTGCACAACAGACGCCTAAGGTTGTTGCACAATCCTCGTTTGTACTTGTTTCTCGAGTTTACAGGGCGACTAAGATTATCACAATGGTTTTTCAGAGATATGTTTGAGTGTTTAGCCCATAGCTGTTATATCGCGTAAAAACATAAATTATACCCTAAATTAGAGTGAATACGTCGTACGTGATTTGTATCTAATTTTTCAGAAAGAAGAAACAAAGTGGCTTAAAATAGCATGTCGTTTGTATTTGACATTTTAATTAGTTAAATTAAACGTCTTTCGAATGCTACATTATATGACATCATATTTAAACAAGAACCTTACAATTTTGCAATATTATATCTATTAGACCTTTAGATTATCTATTTACCTGGTTGAGTGAAGAAAAACTTTAATTGATTTCTCACAAAGCCGCCCCTTTGCGCGCTGAAAATTAATATAAATAAAATAAGCGCAGAATGAGAAAATTTGACACAAACCCAACGTCGTCAAGCGCTTGCACCGTTGCGTTTACACCGCTGGGCAATTTTCAAATTTTAGGATAAATGTGCATTTAATAACTACAGGGCTTCATTTGAAAACAAAAATTTAGCATGTTCTCTGTAGTACTAAAAAAATCTCCATGTAAAAATTATGTGCCAAGTTAGATATTTTTTTTACTTATTTTAAGGGTATCGTATACTTTTTGGAAGACCGTTATTTAATAGTAAATACATAAACCATTTTATCTAGCAAAACAGTTTTTCTCCTTCGTTGGCTCGGCTTAAAACCAAAAACCAAGATCAGTAATAAACGCATAGATTTGTAGGATCTGCTGAATCGATCTGTGGCTCCGTTGGTAGAGCGGTTGCCCAAGATTGGCATTACAGACGCAGATTCGAGCCCTGTCAGAACGAAGGAAAGATTTGTCTATATGTTCGATCTTTGCATTAATAATTATAACCTATATTTTTTATGATACCAAATGACGGGATGAACAAGTCGTGCGCCTGTCCATGGCAGTTGCAATGCCACTCAGAGCTTTAAATCGCAAAGATCTCATGTCACCCTGAAACATAAGTAGACAAGTCTGCCTGTAATTTCCTTGTATTTTTGTTCCAGTAACTTCGTACGCATAGTAAAATTTTGGTGTCAATGCCCAGAGATCTAAAAACAAATTACTTGTTTGAGTTCATGAATACCTGTTATTAATCGATAAATGTACAAGTTATATGGGTAACTTAAACATTTTCTTATGATCTCTAAAAGTTATTTGTAAGCCTTGTACTCTACATGAACGAATAAATAAAGACTGGCAATGACGCCATATTGGATTTGTAAAGGGAACAAACATTAATCATACGTAACTAGGGTATGTAGCAGTATTTTTTTGTTCCTTTACATTACCAGTCCGCCATATTCGTTTTGTAAGGGGAACAATTCGTGCTACATTACCTGGTTTTGTAGCAGAAATAATTTTTCGTTACCAAGTGCTGCTAATGTGAGTTGATTATGTGCTGCTAACAAGGGGCAGGTTTATATACGCGATGTGAGCATTGAGCACTGAGCTCCTATTTGAAGGGTAAGATTGCAAATATGTGAGAGAGTGAGAGTAAGATGGCAAAACTACAAGCACATGGGATTTGTTAACTTACGTCTCCGCGTGACGGGCTCAGTGGCAGTGCCCCACAGATTTAAAGCCGTAATTAGCACTACAATATTGCTATGGACAGGTGTCGCTTATCAACAGGCGCACGACATGTTCGTCTCATTAATTGGTAAAAAAAATCGTTTACACGTATTTTTTTTTATACTCAGATTGGAGACCACATTGAGCGAGGATGCGATGAGTCATGCGAATGTACACTACCAGGCATCTTCGAGTGCTCACCACGATGCAAGCATCCTTACATACGGAGGGGGCGGAGGTTAAACGATCCTCTATGCTTCGAATCGCCGGTTGATGAATGCTGCTCTATTGTGGCTTGTGCTACGGGGAATCAAGGTGAGAAATCTAGTAAAGAATAATACTTACGAAAGGACGTCTGAAAAGTTCATAACAGAATCTGATAATATGTCTTCTAGATCTGACTTGTTTAAAAATCTATACTTACATTTACATACTACTAATTAAATTTTAATACAAACACACGCTGGCACATTTATCGGAACAAAAAAGTGAGAATATAAAAAAGTAAATACAAACGTTTACTTATATCGAGTTCTTAGGTTTTCGCGATTGTTACACATAGGAAAAGAAACTATTTTTCCAGATTTAAATCGCGTATATTTGTTTTTTCAAACAAGCCGACGTTTCGGGCCCTTTACAGGTCCCATGGTCACCTGGAAACGTCGGTTTGTTTGAAAAAACAAATATACGCGATTTAAATCTGGTAAAATAGTTTCATTTCCTACAAAACGTTTATATTTCATTAAGAATTACACATCAGGTAGAAATTAAATTAACATCTTTTAACATCGATTTAATACTAGATGGCGCAAAAGTTGTCACCCGATATTCTTTGTCTGTATTTTTTTTTAATAAAAGAAAAAACTTTAGCTTTGCTTTTGGATTGTGTTTATTTGATGTCTACATTTTTTTTTCATTAAGTAGAAATAATGGTATCGGCCAAGTGGCCGCCGCCAGAACTGATGACCATAAGGGCCCGATTTATGGCATTTTCCATCACTCTTGCCAGAACTTCCGGCATAGCGAAGCAATAGCATTCCTGACGGATATTCTTTTAGAGGGCTTCAAGAGTCTGAGGCTTGTTGACAAAGACTCGTGAATTGTGAAAATTTGAAAATTGTAACAGTTTAGCGTTGATTAAATAAAAAATAATAAATAAAAAAAACGATTTCAACTAATGTTTACGAAATTTACAAGAACGCAAAATCAACCTCGAATCACTCAACAAACCTGTATTAGCAGAAAATTAAAAGAAATAAGTGAAAAAAATTACAGTCAACATTTTTTAATTTTGTAATTATTACACCTAAAATAAAAAAAGAAAAATAACCGGCCAGTATTTTGAAAAAAAAACCATTGCAATATTTTGGTATTTTTACTAGTGTTCCACTAAATGGGCAGGTGTATTTTCTATATCGTCTATAGCTATGGTAATAAAAGGGTTGAGTGTCTTTACAGTCATTACATGATCAGAAGTAGACTCGTCACTTTTATAGTAACTAAAATGTAAAAAAAATATTACAAATGAAAAAGTTGTTCGAGTTACTTTTAAACCCTGATTCTGTAGTGCTGTAGGTTATTATACTGACATCGAAGTTTTTGTTGTTGAAGAATTTGATAGTCAATAATTGTTACTTACGCATGACTTCGACTTGTTCTGTGTATTTATGTATTTTCGGTATCGTGCTATTTAAATTATTTATTACTCAAATTGATTCTTTTCTTTGTACAATTGTGTTTTATGTCAAATTTTATTTCGTCTATTTAAAGGTAAAACCACATAAGTGACATTTTAAACAAAAACTCTTTAATTTATATAGCTATGGTAAGAAAATCACTATCTTTCTGCACGTGAAACTCAATAACAAAAAAGCTATAAACTTAATAAGAGTTTTATCTGCAGAAAGTTGGTGATTTTCTTAGAATAGGTACATAATTTAGAGATTTTTTTGTGGAAAATGCCACTTATGTGGTTTTACCTTTAAGCAGACGATTTATTTAGTACCTAATTGTCTATAATTATTTCAATTTTGATTTTTTGTACCTAAATTTATGTGTGGTGTTCCAATTTATGACGGGCCATGGCAGATTAACAGCGCGGGCTATGTACATAGTTAGCATAGTTCTCAGATGCTGAGTCATGGACTCTTTTGACATGCTTTTTTATTTTAACTTGTATTTATTATTATTTGTTTTATTTTTTCTTCTTTGTTTCAATTTTGAAATTTATGTATTTTATTTAATTTTATTTTTTTATTGTATTTGTTAGCAACTGCCAGACTAAAAAAGTGTTTTTTTTCTAAAATATAAGTGCGCATTTCACGTCCCTCTCATCTGATGCAAAGCGACGTTGAGATCGACGTTGTAACATACACGCCTAAATATTGCCGATTCACTCTCGCCTTGAAAAGGCGCCAAGTATAACGTTTGGGGAACAAGTCCGCAGGCAGGGAATTCCACATTCCCTAGCCGCTCGTCATATAAAAATTTCGCAAGTCACTAATAAATATAATAAATTATTTTATTGTTATCGAGTTCTTAGGATTGCTACACATATGAAATGAAATGAAACTGTTTTTCCCACATCTAAATCGTGTATATTTACTTTTTCAAACAAACTAAAGTTTCAGACTCTTATAGGCCCCTTTGTTATAATTGACTGATGTGATTATGTAATTTTTTCCAGACTTAAAAAAGACATTGGAAATTTGTAAATACGGCAATGACTCCTATGTCGCTGGCGCAAAGTGGAATATCGGATGCGAACAACAATGTTCCTGCGAGGCTAACTCTGTAGTCATGTGCAAGCCGAGGTATGTATTTAAAGATACAACTCTCTTGTCTGGACTTAAACCAGGTATTGCGAAGAGATTGTGTAGCACAGTGTTGGGCAAAGTAGAATAGAAACCATTTATTAAATGCTACAACACAAAAATAAACGGTAAGAAACTTAAAAAAGACAAAGCTAAATTAAAACAAAAACAGAATAGAACAACAAACAAAACTGAAATAAAAATAAAATCCTAGTAATAGGTAATGAAACGACAACAAAGCAAATACATTAAATAGTCAACACTATTGTGTACTAAGTAGATGTCATGTTTGCGATTGTGGCATATGTAAAAAGATCCACCCAGCTAATGTCACCACCGAGAAAAGGTTGTGACGTTGATTTAGAGTGGACCCTCAATGTACGGCCAGCGAAGGGCTTTAATCCAGCCCAATGTCCCTTTTAAAGTCAGCAGCAGCATTGAAGTATCGAAATTAATGAGGCTGTTGACATACACACAAAATAACACACACTATACTAATTAATAATATTTTAATAGAACATGATTTTTTTTAAAGTCTGATCACAAAACGTGAAGTGCCTTTTTATTTAATTTTAATTTATTTTTCTGGTCCCTGTTGAAAAACGTTGGCCACCCCTGGACTCTACCAAATTTGTTACCTCAGGTGCAAGAAACTTGAACAATCCGACCAATGTATTAACGTCCAAGATCCAAATGACGAATGCTGTGAGGTACAAGTGTGCGACGTCTCCCATGATGACCATGAGGAACCTGTTGAAAACATCACAACCACTGTTAAACCTGACACGACAACTTCTAGTATTAATACCACCAGTACTACTAGTGTCACGACTTCTACGAGTACTACTACTGAGGTAACTGTTTGTATATACAATATTTATTATTATTGGATATCATAATATATCAATAAATATTAGACATCACATACGTTGCTCTGATTCCAAAGTAAGTAGCTAAAGCACTTGTGTTATGGAAATCGGAAACAACGACGGTACCACAAACACCCAGACCCGAGACAATATGGAAAAGTTAGTTTCTACACTGATCCGGGCGGGGATCGAACCCGAGACCTCAGAGACGGCGACATCATGAAAACCAGTGTACAAGCCACCAAATCGATCAGATCGAAGGATTTTTTGTGTTTGTTCAGTCTTTATGTCAATCAATAATTAAAACTTTTTTATTTAAAAAAAAACCGACCTTAAAAGTTATCTTTCACTGCGTTCGTTACCGTGGTCTCCTCAATGATAACTGAAAGGCATTATATGGAAGTCCTCGTCAAAATGAACTACGTGAGCCCAAACACAAGGTAGCTGCTGTACATTTGAAAAGTTCCTCTAATCTGTCTGCCATTTCTACCATCAGATCAGCTTTAAAGCACCATAACATTTTAATTTCATTGGAATTACATCTATATGCCAAGTTATACAGAAATCTATTAACGGAAATTCTATAAACAGGATTCATCTCCTAGTTTTCCACCCTTAAAGATGGAATATCTTCTTCAAATTTGAATTGGACCACTACTGAAGCGTTGTCAACAAAAAAGATTCTTCGAAATCTGTTCATAAATATCGGAATAATAGCGTAACATGCAAAAAATATACAGCCGAATTGAGAACCTCTTGCATTTTTGAAGTTGGTTAATAATAACAAACTACACACATCAAAAGTTTCCAGGGATCTGTCATTAAATATTGAAATTATTAAAATTATTTTTAATATTAAAGAATTGAATTTGACGTATGAATTCTCACATTGATCCCTTGACATTATTGAGCAGTGTATTTGTATATTGTGATAATATGATCCCTTCCGTGGTTGTCTTGTAGGGAATGGTAGTAGGTAGTTTGTAAGCCATCAATGGGTTCATTGGTCAGATATTGGAGTGAGAACTTTGAGACTTTTATACAACATTCTCATTAATAAACCATCACTGTGTATTGCATCGCTGCACCATTCATTTAGGAATGAATATCTTGAATGTGATTTTATTAAGATCAATTAAAAATGCAATGTTTTACAGTCATACAAAGGCTTCGACGACTACGACTTGCAAGCAAGAACGTTCCGTCCACTAGTTTTACCAGAACCGATTGGCTCAGTGAAAGTCTTACAAAATAACAGCGTTCAAGTCAACTTAATGCACATGAATAGTAGCCGAGATCCCATACATTTAATGCTCAGCAAAGATGGTGGAAGAAATTTCGAGGATGTCGAATTGAAGTATTCTAATTTGATCCTTAATTTAGAAGGAGGAAAGGACTATATTTTGAAAACGAAAGAGACTGGAACGAAGTTTAATTTTACTATTACGGCAACTGATGTTGCTAAGGGAAATTTTAGCAGTGCCGGGTGCTTTCATGAAGGCACGCTATATTCTATTGGTGAGTACCGTTACTGTAAATATTAGACAATAAATATTAGACAACGTCACGTAGGTACGTTGGTCCGATTCCAAAGCAAGTAACTAAAGTACTTGTGTTATGGATATTGGAAACAACGAAGGTACCACAAACACCCTGACCCGAGGCAATATAGAAAAGTTCGTTTCTACATTGACCCGGCCGGGGTTCGAACCCGGGACCTCAGAGATGGCGACATCACGGAAACTGGTGTGCAAGCCACTCGATCACGGGTCGTCAAACTGTGTGACTATGATGGCATTTCTCAAAATGATGTAATTTATACATTTTCTCAAACATGCTCGGAAATGTTTGCATTACTGTCAAAAAACGAACACGGAAAGTTTGTTATTTATAGACCATGCGACTTGTTCCCGGTCAAGGCCTGCAAAGTAATTATAAAAATCCATTACTGTCCTCTTCTTTAAACTTTTAAATCAACCTACTAATAATGAACTATGTAAACAGGCAAAAGAAAAACTCATACAGCCAACTGCCCACTGTTCATAACTGCGAGAATTAAAAATACCTACCTGTACCGCTTACTTAAAAAAAGAAGAAAATGGCGTAACATTTAAAGTAAAGTGTTTTGGTATTTATTTGTTTTGTCGTCTTTTTTGTATTTTGGTCGCGAAAATGAATGCTAGGGAGAAGAGCAATAACAAAAATACAGAAGTTCAGCAGACTATTATTAATGTGCCTGAAAAACAATAAGATTTTCTATAATTATTAATACAAAGATCGAACACTCAGAAAAGATTCCTTCGATCCGGTCGAATTCGAACCGACGTCTTCCAGCTTACCGTGCCAGACGCTATACCAACTAAGCCACGAAACGAACCAGCGGACCTCACGAATTTTTCTATATGCTTGCGTCATGTCTTTGTATTTGGTTTTTTCAACGACTTTTTATTCGTAGCGCTACCTATGAGAAATCTATGAAAGATTTATCGCCCAGTTAGTACCTTTACAGCTACCAGTCCTGGCGAGAGATGTCGCTATTCATTGTATTTTAAATTTTTATTGAATCGATATTCAATTATTTTTTGTGAAATTACTCCACTACTTTGTTATAATGATTAATACAAAGATCGAACACTCATAGAGAGGCGCTACGACTAAAAAGTCGTTGAAAAAACTAAACACAAAGACAGGACGCAAGCACATAGAAAAATTCGTGAGGTCTGCTGGTTCGTTCCGTGGCTTAGTTTGTATAGCGTCTGGCACGGTAAGTTGGAAGACGTCGGTTCGAATCCTGCCGGATCGAATGAATTTTTTCTGAGTGTTGCGATCTTTGTATTAATAATTATAACAAATTAGTGGAGTAATTTCACAAAAAATAATTGAATATCAATTTAATAAAAATTTAAAATAACATTTTCTTTTAGATTTTTTTTAATGTTAATTAATATGTTACTATTTCTAGTCATCTTCCTATCTTCAGCAGCTCCTCGCATTGTTTGAGAAAAATTCTATTCATACCTCGGCGGGAACGGGGATTGCTTGACTCGTATTAATACAAGGCTTCGCTGGCTCTCGTCCTTGTAACTCATACTCGTCCAGCAATTCCTTACTTCCCGGCCTCTGCAATTATGCACTACTCTATTACCTTTGAAACGCTTAAGCGCTTTGCTTTATTTAGTGGCTTATTCCACTAAGATACAAAAAATTAAAGACTAACTTGAGTTAAAAAAATAAACACTGCGGATCCATAATATCCACATCTGTTTTTCCCCTTTATAGTTTTCCCGAGTATATTTGCAGCTACTGGAGTATTTATACATTTACCTAAAAAGTCCATCTGTTCCTACAGGTGAAGAATACCACATTGGATGTTCGGAGCTTTGTGAATGTACAGGACCGAATCAGAGCGAGTGCGTGGAGCTTGTGTGCCCCTCCCACGTGGGATTGGAATTAATGTCCAAGGGTTGCGTACGGTGGGCCCCCTCCCCTCCCCCCACTCCACCGAATTGCTGCCCCCGGACTGCTCGGTGTATCAGTGATGGAACTTGCCATTATAATGGAACTGCGTATGTACTTATTTATAAGATTTCCCTGTTCATGTAATACCCAACCTACACAATAGTGAATCATCACTTGTTCGTCCCGTCACTTGATATTATAAAAAAAATGTCTTCGGCAATAACGAATAAACTCTGGATGAGAATTGCAGTGTACTGGCGACGCTATATCTTCAAGATAATTATTTCCGTTACTTGCAAAACTGTATGTATTTTAATGAAATTAAATATTAATATATGATATACATGATATAGGGTTGGAAGATAGGTCAATTGTTCAGAAGTGCACAATTTGATGAATTTAAGGTTTTCAAATTCTTCCAACAACTATTTATTCTACTTAAATTTATATTGAAGTTTTCACCACACTCTACAACAAATTGTTACAGATATATCCTAAATTTTTATCCTAAGGTTGCCTGGAAGAAATTGTTACATAGCAATAAAACCGCCTATTACACATTAACTTACTATTTCTATATTTACTTATGTTGCTGTTCTGTGATGCTGCTGTAATTTTATGTGCAATAAAGATATTTCATTCATTCATTCATTCTTACAGCATACCCAACTGGACCGAAGTCCCCATAACGCTGACGGGTTGTGAGCAGCGTTGTTTCTGCGAGAACGGCGAGCTGGACTGCCAAGAAGTCTGCACCCCTCTCCCGCCCATTCCACCTCAAACCATGCGCTGCCCCCCACAACACCGGCCGTCACCCGTCAACATCTCTGATGATGACTGCTGTAAGCAATGGGCTTGTGTTCCTCATCCTGGTAAGAAAGATTTTTACTATCTTAAGAATATCGGCTATGAAGGGCACTGTAAGATATAAATGAAAAGGTGTATAGAATGGCGGCAAGGGCAAAATATCACAACGCATAAATCACTGCATAGAATCATATCATCATATCGCTTTAACGTTAGCAAATGGAAGTTAAGTTTTGGTGCATAAGTAAAAAATGCTCACTAGCCTTTTTACTAGCAAACAATAGATAAGTAGTAGGGGCTATTCTTTAAAATTCTGAATCAGTCACTTTTTCTCTCATAAAAGCATGCTACAGCCTTTACCATTCTCACCATTATTATTTGAATTGCCATGAACATTTCTCTATCATTACATTAATTGAACCGCATGACCTCATTGCTTCCAGCCGAAGACCAGACCACGACTTTACCGACCGGTATCATAAACTACGTGACACCAGTCACCCCTGCATTACCGACAACGACTAAATTATATCTCTCGACTGTCTCTACGGAACCTACAATTGACTTTTATCGACACTTACACCCTGCCAAATCCATATTAAAACACAAACCTTACCCATTTATTAAAGATAGCACGAAATACACAGCTGATGTACAGAAATATCTCCAACAACCTACCAACTCTTCTATGAGCATTGATTCAGACCAAAATATGAGAGTCCCTGGACCAAAAGCCCGTCCAACGAAAGTACAGTTAGACCATCCAATGAAGGTCCAAGTACAACAAATACAAAAACCTTTACAAGCAGCTATGAATAATGCCAAATTTAGCCATTATAATTACAAACCGAAAGAAAACTATCCTGGAAACATACGTATTATCGACAATAGCAAGCCTATTCATCATTATGATTATAAACCAAAAAGCGATTTTCCAATATCAGATATCGACATGCATGAGCTCATCAATCCGTCTATACTGTTTAAAGGTGCAAATGCGATAAGTACTTTCAGTAAAAATAACTATCAACTACCACTCAAGATAGATGAGATGGAACCGGAACCATATTTTGTGCCAGCACACAATGTGTTTAATAATGATTTAAAACCAGCAGTGGGAGAAGTTTACGTCCTTGAAAGCAAACCTCCTGTCGCAGCAGATTCACCTACTCACCGTCAACCGTATTACGCACCTAATAATAATAGACATAATGTTCATCAAGAACCCGAAACAGAGCCCTCGTCTAAGAAGCTGCTTTCAAATCAGGCAAACCCATCATACAAATTGCGAAATAAAGAATTATACGCCATACATACTGAACCGCGTGGCCACGAAGCGTGGTATGATGATAAGGTACAGGACAATGCTCATGTGCAAATGACAGCACCTAATCCTTACGAAAATGTTTTACTTAGACCTGTAGACAGGTCTGAACCGACGCATAGAAAGCTCATGAACCCTCAGTCTAGAAATAGTCCATTAGATGTGGAACATCTAGTTAATCAAATGGAAGTGGAAGCAGAAGTGAACAGGAACCTTGAGCGATCTGCTGACAAATCCCAAAACCCAGCGGCAGGTCAGTGACCTTGCCTGTTTGCTGACGATCTTTCTTTGTATTCTATATTGTAAACTGACTGTAGACATTCGACTTCACCCCTGACTTGTAAACTCTTTGGAACACTGACTTAAAATCCTAATGTAACACGACTAACAAAAACGCTTAGCACAACTGCATTTAAGTTTCACCGCATTATTTTTCAATTATGTGTAAACAAATAACGTGTTATTGTGGTATAGTAGAATACAACAATACACCGTATTTAGCATTCACTTGCCTATACAAAACCTGTGTACATACTATACTTTGTTTTAGAGAGTTCAAATAGATCAATCCAATAGTATCTGATTAATTCAGTTGTGTCCTAGTCATCATTCCTTTGTGATGAAAATGGAACGTATTATGCCAAGAATGTCTATTCTCTGAAACGATGTATAGAGGTAGTATTTATTGTATTCGTGATCAAAATTACAGCGTTAAGTATGCTAGGACTTAGCGTTAAATGATAATGACGTAATGCTACGTCGAGTGTCATTTTTATTACCGTAAGCAATGTGTTTCAGGTCTTACAACATCAGTGACCCCAACTCAATCCAATCACTCTCCTTCAGGATTTTTGCCAACTATTCCTCCCGAGATCCATTTCCCCCAAGACGAAATCCCTGACTATGATCAGAATAACCTTCATCGTCCAATAAACGCTCTGCCACCAACTATCCCAGGATTACCTCCAGGGCTGCCTGTACCTCCGAACTATGGAGAAGAAAATAAGAAACTTTCTGTAATATCCTTGCAAGCAGACTCGCCAACCAGTATCAAGTTATTATTCGGGCTGCCACCTGTTTTGGTCGGTTTGCGAGGCAGCGTCGATTTGCGATATACCGATGAACCGTAAGCATATTACTTTACTACGAAGTTGTACGTTATAACGTTTATTATTTCCCAATAATCATATACTCAATACTCAATATATTTATTGCATTCATATGGTAAACATGTCTTAAAGTTAAAATAATGCTACACATATGAGCCCTTTATTAGGGATAACAATAACAGCAGAGGTAGGCCGAGGTTTCAATGATTAATTAAAATTGTTATTTATCAAATAATAATATAAAAAAAAATGTCATAAAGAAATACGTCATATTATGAGTAAAATTATGTCACTTAAAACTTTGAATTTAATTAGATTACATTAGCATAACTTTATAGTATGTAATTAACATTTATTTATTATTCAAATTTATTATAATATTATTATTTTTATTTGTCATCAAAGTATTCATTTAAATTGTAATAGCATTTATTAATAAGATGTAATTTTAATTTATTTAGAAACAGTGAATACTTTTCCTCGTTTTTAATAATGGGAGCTCATTGAATATCCTCACCGACATCGAGTGGGGACTTGAGCTGTGTATGTGTAGCCGAGATCGTGGCAGAAGCAATCTATTGCGTGGTCTAAAAGTGTGTCGTTGAGGCAGGTCGTCAGTGTTAGTGTAAAAGTCAGGGTGTTGTTTAATAAATTTACAAGTTTCTAAAATATATATAGAACACAAAGTCAAAATTTTAAATTGTTTAAAGTGCGGTCTGCAGCTGTCCGTACTACTCAAATTGCCAAGAATACGGATGCATCTTTTCTGGATTGTAAATATTTCTCGTGCGTGCACACTATTTCCCCAAAGGATAATTCCGTAACTTAGGTGGGAATCGTAACCGTATCCTATTTTTTAAGAGAACCAAAGTTTTAAATTTTGCAACAGTGATCAGGACATCTCAGAATGGTACTCGCAAGTCTTTGCTCCGGCTGACGAGGTGCTGACCACTCCTCGTCTGGAGTTCCGGCTGACCGGCCTAAAACCGTCCACAACTTACAAGATCCGAGGAAAACTCTACCTTCATAATTTACCTGTGGAGCCTCAGAGTGATATTTACAGCGTCAGAACCCTGGATATGCCTTCTGTGAGTAGAAGAGTCTTTCAATATTTTTGTTTCAACAAAATTAGCCTGTAATAAACTTACCATACTTTTCTAGTAGCGACTAGCGTCATCGTTGATAGTACAACATACTTAACTAATGTGATTCTAATCCAGGCTTCGAAACTAAGTATACGACTTTTACGGAAGTTGACGATTGCATTGGTAGTTATTATTTCACATTGTAATTTTCCGCTGATCAGTTCACTACAAGGCTCCCTTACCAGTTTAGATGTAGACTGATGTAGACTTTAAAAATGTGTTGCGTGGCCGAACGGTTACCATGCTGATCGCTGACGCAGAGGTCGCAGGATCGATTCCTGGGCCGGGAGAAATATTTGTATGGCCTACATTCATTTCTCTTGTGAGTTTGGATATAATTTATAGTTGTCTATGTGTGTGTCCATGGCACCCGCGACACATGGTTTTCCTAGTGCGGAGCTATTTATATTTGGTCCTATTTTTCCTCCTATTTGGTATATTTATGGTTGGTCCCATAGCAACTATTGATCCTCACCAGAGACCGGATCGAATGGCATAAAAAAAAGTTTTGTAAAAATTGCCTTGTATCTTGCTGACTGTACCATTTTTTCTAAATCTGTGAATGCCAATCAAAATATCTTCAAAATTCATGGATAGTCTTGTAGAACCGTTTTCCTGTAACTACAACTATAGGTAGCTGGCCTTGCTGCTCCGTGTAATATATACCACTGTATATGTTTATTTTCTTATTTAATGTTGTGGCAATATTTCAACTGTCGGCGAATTACATAAAATTCGATTGGACTTTTTTACTGCAAGAAAATGATTACATTCGAACAAATATTGCCTATTATTAGATTGAGCATGAGTTGAGTAAGTCTTCGATTGATTCGTATTTGTTCTCTGAAAAAATAAAGAATATTTTGTATTGTAACAATAGTTAACTTTCACCCATTCGTCAGGTACCCACAGAAGAGAAGCGTCGCGAGATAGACAGCAGGCTGATGGTAGTTGATGTAAACGACACTGTAGCTCACGTCAGTTGGCGACACTTCTCTGAGAGCGAGCTGCAGTACATTGATGGCATACAAGTGAGGTGTGTGATTAAAGATAATATTATAATAATAATAATTTATTTATTTTCTCTCAACATACAAGGTAAATTGTATAAATGCTTACTGACTGATAAGTTTCAGCATGAAACCTTTTTTGCGAGAGAGTGGTGCCTGAAATAGGCATAAAAATGCCTGTATTTATTGCCTCAGCTCACCGGGTCCTCGTTTTTTGAAGTGTATATATATATACATAGATGTACTATGTTAAAATCAATTTTCACATAAATTAGGTACATACAGTAATGCAACGGTAAAAATGTATTAAAATGGATTGTATACAATTACTCACTTTTATTTGCAAAATTAAATTTTTAAAAAATAAAAAAAATGTGGATAAGAATTAAGATACTACTTTATAAAGAAAAATATCACAAGTAAATAAATTTGCGAAAAAAACAGTGTGCTTCTGCGTGTTGTATTATTATATTTTAGTGGGCAAGTGTATGTGCAATACTTTAATTATAACGTGGGATGCAAAAGGTTTTTAATCTTGTCATAGTCTAATGACTTAAGCCACTTTACCACTGCTCGCTTACAGCTGGTTCTTGGTAGATGATATATTTTTGTGTTGTTACTGATTTGTTATAACAGTTATCTTTTGTGTCTTAGTCCAATAGAATTTTCTGTATGGCAAGCTACAAACAACCATGGCGACCGCAATAAAGTACAATCTAATACATAAGGAGTTGTTACTGAGACTGGAAGATAAATTTAAAATTCCCTTTCAGGTACCGTCCAGTGGGCACGCCGATATACAGTATGACAGAACTCTTACACCATAGTAGATCAGTAGCTGAGCTCCGGGAGCTGAGACCCGGTACTCAATATGAAGCTTCTTTGGTCCTGGTGCCACCGCCGCGCGCTACCACCGAATTGAAGGATCCCGCTTCTGTGCAGTTCGACACTGCTCCTTATGTCGGTAAGTGTCATCATCGTTTAATGCAAACAATGGGTAGTTGTTAGAGTAGGTAAGGTCATTATTATAGAGCAATTTCGATCATGAGTTGATTGGCAAGTAGCAGTTAACAGCTTTTCGGAATGACATATTTCTAATCTCTTTTGCAGTCTATGGCTAGAATAGAAATAGAAAACATTTATTCCTTAAGTAGACAACACAGTACACATGCATTTTGTAATAATACCAATAAAAATAGTACTAACTGCAAATATATGGAAGAGTACAACGCGTGTGTGCTGTGCTGCCAAGGAAACCGTGACCCACTCAGCTTATTGTCGTCTCAGTTATGGTGCTACGACGCTGATTTTCAGCGGATCCGGCAACAGAACACACGTGACACGGAACATAGTAGCCGTGACAGATTGACAATTATGTCCTTAAAACGAACAGATTATTGACACAGTACAAGAAGTAATGACGTTACCACTTACATAATATATGCGTTAAAATGTGAGATTACACATACATAATTAAACAATAAACTAATTGTCACTTTGCACTATCAATAAACCATCAAATTGTTCAACAAATTGCATAGATTTTTAAAACCGCGTCTAAGGAATAAAGTGATATAATTTTTACTTCTAAATCTGCAGTTTTACACAGGTACTAAAATAAAAATATTGATAACACTTTAGCACGTCTACTCTCTGTTCCGCGTCCCGCGCGCTCCTCTTATTTGGACACTTTAACTATTGTGTATAACCTCGGATGTCTTCAAATGTATGCTAGAGCATTTGTAATATTGTACCATTTTGAAACATTTATTTTTTTGTGACTAAAAGTGAAACTCCTTGCAATAAAACTTTCAATTTACCAAGTTGAAACAGCTGGTGATCAAAAAGTGGCAGCATTCATGTAATTTTATTCACTAAGGAACAAGAACTAGATGTTTCAAAATAAAGGGAAGCAACTAGATTTGAGCAAAAAACACTTAAATATATTGTTCAAATGACCCAGTTGACTCGTCCATCAAATTGTTCAAATGACGTAGTTAACTCAAACTCAGCAGTCAAACATTTTATAGCTCTTTGGCACATTAAACCGAAACTTTTCAAAATTGTATCTTATTTCGCAGACCCTTACAACTGGACGGTATCAATCGAGGCCCGCGTAGTAGGCTCAGATGCAGCCGAACTCACGTGGCACGGTATTCCCTCTCCTGCTGAGCGGTGGGTGCGAGTCTATCGAGCAGCGCATGCATGTGGCACGTCCAGACATGAACACGATGCCTTTAGACTAGCTACCAGAGATCTGCCACCCACCATAATGTTGTCCGGACTTGATCCTGACTCTAAGTAAGTTTACGTAATTCAGTTGAAAATTGAGATTCAATTGCTACTTTGTTGATCATTACAACAACACATATATTAAATAATTTGATTATTCCTTAAATTACAAAAGTATAATGTTCACTAAACAGACTAGGGAAAAGCGTTACATTTCTATCACCGTGACTATCGTTCCGGATATAAAAAAAATTACAGTGACAAATCACCGTGATTTTGTCACGCCTGTCACTTACATCACGATATACGGTTTTGGCAAGCGGCTACTTTATAATTATTAGTAACGTTTAATTTAATTTGAAAAATTGATCCGCCTTCACAGTTTTACAGGCTTGTCGCATTATTCGTTAATAAGACCATGAGGCGTGTTTAGTATTCTTGACCAATTTTGTGCAATTATCTTATTTGCATTTAGTTGGAGTAGGTCTTCTCACTCAATGGGGGGCTTGTTCTGTAGTTCCCACGTGGGCTCAATGCTGACATGGAACTTCATACACATCATTAAATTGCTTTGTAAACGTGTGCAGGTGTGCAGGCAAATTTGAAATTAAATTTCGCATATAAATTCCGAAAAACTCAGAGGTGCTAGTCCGGATTTGTACCCACGATCATTTCATATGCTTCAGAGGCAATAGATCCAACTATTAGGCTACCACGTTTTTTTATTTATTAATAGTATATTGTAACGAGTATAGAACAGGCAAATTACTTACTGACACAACTACATACAATATTACCTAAATATGACTTTGGGACTACGTTTTATTTACAGATGCAGGGTATGGATGGAACTGTTCCTGACAAATGGCAAGATCAAGACAAGCAACGTTCTAGAAATCAACACAAAATCACAAGACTCGCCAGAAGAAATCGACAGTTAGTTTTCAAATTTTAATTTTAATTATAATAATCAGAAATAGAGACGAAAAAAGTCGTTGAAAAACCAAATACAAAGACACAACAACAAGCACATAGAAAAATTCGTGAGGTCCGCTGGTTCGTTCCGTGGCTTAGTTGGTATAGCGTTTGGCACGGTATGCTAGAAGACGTCGGTTCGAATCCGGCCGGAGCGAGGAATTTTTTCTGAGTGTTCGATTTTTGTGTTAATATTTATAATAAACTAGTGGAGTAATTTCACAAAAATAATTGAATATCCATTCAATAAAAATTTCAAATACAGACGAAATGTCATTTAATTTGTTTGAAAACAATTCTGCCAAATCATTACTGTGACGACTGCGTTCCGATTGGCTAGCCCGAGTTCGAAACAATTGACGGATGTCGACAACTTTTCACTTTTCGTTTCACTTCAAATCAACCAGTTTAACTTGATTTAATTTTTAATTGTCTAGGAAATGTGATTCCGTTGGTTTTGTAATTAGACGTGTTGCAGTTTTTCCCACACCACCGAATGGAACAGCCTCCGTTGTTACAGATATTATCTTTGGCCTACGTTTATTTCTCTCGTAAGTTTGGGCGTAATTTGTAGTTGTCTATGTGAATGTCCCTTGCATCCGCAACACAGTTCCCTAGTGCGGGGCTATGTTGAGTTTGTGCGTTAATATTATTTTAAAAGTTAGTTCTCTAATTTATATTTTGACGACCTCCGTGGCACGAGTGCCTTGCACACCGGTTTTTGTAGTGCCATCTCGGGTTGGATCCCCGGCCGGGTCAATGCAGATAAACTAACTTCATTGTCTCAGGTCTGGGTGTTTGTGGTACCGTCGTTGTTTCCGATTTCCATAAAATAAGCTTTAGTTACTTTGGGATCAGAGCAACGTATGTGATATTGTCTAACATTGTTGTGTAATATATCTATATATATATATTTTTTTGTGTTTCTAGACGAAATTGAAGCGTCGTCAATAGCTGACAGCCGTGGCGGTGGACGCGGTGACTACTACGGCGCTCTAGTCGTGGTGGGCGTAGTAGCCGCGTTGGGTGCCCTTACCTCACTGCTGTTACTTCTCGTGCTCGTGCGCCGGCATCGCCCGCGCTCCGTGCCTATTACTCGTAAGTTACAATTGCTAAGTTTTAAGATTCAAGCACAAATGCCGCAATGTATAACGCACCACTGTCGACTTTAAAGAGAACGTAAAGTACGCAGGAATTGGTTATTAGAAGCGGTACGTAGTGTATAATGGGCAGTACATACAGAATGTGGCATTGTTTCTTTTAATGCGAACTTTGCTCAACTTTAGGCATAATTGATAATGTTAAAATCAGGGTTATAATCAAAGTGATAATCATCATAACAATTATTTTGATAAATATACCTTGATGTTAATAAAATTAATTAGAACAACAAAATAACACCGATGGCAATGTTTTGACATATGTTTGTATCAGAGACTTACCAAAACATCTATTTCAAAAAGTCACAAACCAAACCGTTTTCCCCAATATTTCTTCGTTAACCGACGTTCCGTAGTTTACAGGTCCCATGGTCACGGTTGACTCGTCGGTTTGTATGAAAAAACAAATATACGCGATTTAAATCCGGAAAAATAGTTTCATTTCCTATGTATATCTTCTGTTTCAATTTTCAAAAATTAAAATTGTTCTTTGCGAATTTTAATAAAAGTAGCCTTATTAGTGTAATCACCATTTTCATATGCCATTGACATATTCAAGCACGTAAGTATTTTTTCAGGGAACGATAGCCGTATAAAGCAGACCATTGAAGCGTATAGAAATATTGAAGACCCATGGCACTCTGTGATCAATCAGTACCTTGTAAGAGTGTATTTTGTGTGACAAAATGTATAATTATTATTGACTTTTCACTTCTTCTTGTAGAAGAAGAAAAACAAAACTTTTAACTGCTAATGTTGCTACTACGTAACTAAAATATCAATATTGTAGTCTTTGGCATCTGCCAATATATCTATATTAACTTCCATAGCAGGTAACTAAACGCAATAATTTTATCAATTATTTTTTGATAGAACTAAAATTTCTAAACCAGTAGAATGTATAAGTAGTTCATGCTAAATTTAATGTGTATACAGTTTTATTTTAGTAATACAACATAGTATAATGCAAGACAGTCTTATTGTACTTGGAAGAATTAGCTGAAAGCATGTTGGTAGCGTTGTCTTTATTTTATTGTTTCGTTTTTTTGCAGCTGTGCCATCCGCCCCCCGCGAGTCGTCACTTCCCCCGTACGACAACCCGGCGTACAAACTAGAACTACAGCAGGAAACCATGGGTACCTATTTATTATTATTATTGCCTTTTACCTCTTATTACTAGCTTTATAAAGGTAATTATGATAAACTGTACTTTTATGTCAAAGATATAGAAGTTACGCGTGCGGAGCAAAACCAAGCAAAAACAAGCAAAAGGTATGATAAGGTATCTACTGGTGGTTGCGTACGTTAAAATACTTATATGTATACTGCACATTGTGTCACGAATCACATAACGTATTTAGTTAAATAATAATGGCACTGGATATTAATCCAACATGACTATTTCTAATTCAACTGACCAGACAATGCGTTTATAACAGATTCGCAAAATTACACATCTATTACACAATTCACGAGACAATTTCGCGTAGACGTGCGGAAAAATTGCTGAGTGTAGGAAAAATTTAAATGAGATGCACCAATTACTTCTTTGTTTCTTAAACCAATACCAATGCCCGCCATAAGAATTAAGAAGAAAACTTTCCCTAGCGTTGTCGTAATGATCCATCGCCACCTTGATGATCGTACTTGTTATGCTGTATAACAATATATCGCATTGTAGCGGGATTATGCAGGTAACCCATAAAGTCCTATAAGATTTGTAAGAGGTTATTTCACCCATCAATACGACCAAATTATTTGTGGAGGAATTTTTTTCCGTCTTCTCTTGGTGACTTTAAAGCAAGATCAGGGATTATCACGATAATTATACTGATAAAAATATGTTGATAATTATAAAATTAATTGGAACAACAAAATGTAGCATCATTGTCCGAGTGTGTTATTGTTTCTTTTATTTTTTTTCCATCCTCTAAGGTTATTGTATTATTATTCGAAACGTGTCAAATGTCAAACTCAAAAAGATTTCTCACTGTTTGTCATTTTTAGTCAAAAATTAAAGAGACAACACTACGAATCAGCATGAACAAATTATCTGATAATTATCAAAGAAAATAATGAATTTGAATTTGAAGAAAGTACACGTGTCTATGTATGCCGTTTTTTCCAGATCTCTGACAATTAAGTTCCCGTGGGCACAACAACGGCGTCAGTGCCAACGGGACAATGGTGTCAGAGCGCAGCGTCGACGTGCCAAATGGGCGGTCGTTCAACGAAATGGGCGTTTAAATAACGATTAAGAGACAATTGGCAACAGGCTACACTCTTTTAATAATACCTTCTTCGTTTTTTTTTGTGTTCTATACCTATACAATGGTAGTAGAGAAAGATATTTAAATGTATTTAGGATGCTTAATATGCTTTATTTATATATTGGCAAAGTGACCATAGATATTAGATACCTTCCTAATACGATTACATATTAGAAGCAGAACCCACAAAACGTTTAGAAAAGGCAGCTTTTATTCAAAGATAGATAGACTCCACATTCCAAAACATATCGTACAAACTTTTTATTTAAATTTATAAAAGTCTATGGACATCGACAAATGAATATGTATCATAGATTTTTCACAGATGGAACAATTCGTGAGGTCCGCTGGTTTGTTCCGTGGCTTGGTTGGCATAGCGTCTGCCACGGTTTGCTAGAAGACGTCGGTTCGAATCCGGCCGGATCGAATGAATTTTTTCTAAGTGGTCGATCTTTGGTTAAAAATAATTGAATATCATGATAGCGAAATATCCTAACATTCAATAAAATTTAATAACAAGATTTTTCGATTCATTAACATACAGGAATCGATTGACTATTTTCTGGACATACAAAAACTTATCTTAAAAGCTTGCAATATTAATTTTGATAATCTATTCTAATCTACTACGGAGTAGCATCTGTTGCCAAAAGTCTATTAAAAACGTCGTTGTATAAACCGGCCGAAAATTTTCGTCGCACCCTGTAAATAGGTATCATGAACATTTTATAGGTGTGTTACGATCGGCCAAGTGACAAAGTGTAGTAACACGAACTTTTTTATTTTGGTGGTTATTTTAGAGACTCGAATTTGTAGTGATTGTTGTAAGTGACAACATAATACGAGATTATAATGAACATAGCACAGATTTGTTTGCAAAAACTATGTTTTTTTTATATAATTGACAAATTTTTATACCATTCACAATTTGATTTGTTGCCATGTTCCATCATCATTATTTCTTTTTTTTTTCAAATGACTTGACTTTTGTAATGACTTTTATAATTCTGACTTGTATATAGTGTTAATAAAAGCATTTGAAGTTTACCTACGTAATATTAATCATGTAACTTGAAGTGTGTTAGAAACTCGCTGTTTATACCTACGCAGGCTTATTGCCTATTAATTGTTAAAACTATTGTAATATAGTATTCCATTTTATTTATACACTTTATGTTTTATTTATTTCATCCCGAGACACACCCCGGACACTCCATACGGTAGAAAATTATTTAACTACCACTACTATCACATAGCAAGGCGCTGTCTGCACACGTGTGTGCGTGAAGTGACAGGGTTACCCATAAATTTTCTCGTATTATTTATTCTCAGGTTTAACGTACACAGTGAATTTGTAAGAAAGACGTAACAAACAAACGAATATATTGTATATTAAAAATAAAAAAAATTAAAGAACTTAAAATGTTATATTTTTCACAGGTACTTTTTATCAAAATTTTTATCAAAATCTAGGTATTTGAAATTGCGAATACAACTGTATTAGTTACATATTCACTACATATTTATCGCTAATATAAGTTGAAAATTCATGAACCCTAGTTTGTTAGTTCGCGAAGTTATGGCGTCTCATTATATTGATGTAATAAATCTGTAATATATATTAATTAATAAATGGATGGTAATAAGCAATAACGTGTCAACAAACATGACCATAGTTTTTCGTTGTTTTTGATAGTTTGTTCTAAAACGTTTGCTACTATGCTAGTAAATTTTAGAACAAACTATCAAAAACAACCGTTTTCGCAAAACTATGATCGGGTTAGCTGACACGTTATTGCTTATCAGCATCCAAACATTAATTTACACTAAATAAATGAAGAAAACAATAATTCTGAATTCACAATAGTCTCAGTCAAAAGTAAGATTCATCTTTCGCAGAAACGAAAGGAACTACTCTCTTTATCTCATTTAGGTGAAAATAAATAACGGTATATGGCAAAATTCACGACCGTCATAACGTACGCTAACTTACATAACGTACGCTCGTAATAAACAAGTTTAAACTGTTTGAAATCAAAGTCATCTTTACCGAACGGCTCGCTGACTGCCTTTGTTGCCGTTCCGTCAATGACGCAACAAAGCGATGTATTATCTAAAGCTAGGGAGGGGCAGAGAGAGAGACCATTCTCGTTACTTTTTTATTCTCTGCCCAAGATTAAGTAAAAAAGAAGAAAGGTAGAATCGAGCGTTCTACTGTAAGGGAAAGGAGCAGCAATTACAAAAACGTCTTTTAATTCAAATACAACACCAAATCACATTATATTTTCTATAATATTAGTACATAATAGAATTTTCTTTAATATATGATTTTATGCACTTAACACTACCCTAAACGTTTTGTAGTAAATCTACTCTATGCCCATTAATTTAAGGTTCATACAATATTATATGGTTTATATGGAAGTAAAAACGCTTCAAAATGTTTTATTGTGTATTTAATAAATTCTCTTTTAAGAAAATAGATATAAAGAGACTGTTAATAATAACCGTATTTTGTTGCTGGGCCCGAAAGGAAGTTTAATTGTTTATTACATAAATATTATTATAATCTTATTTAACGATAATTGTCTAATATATTCTTTGTATATTCTAAATATTAATTTTCACGGCACATACAGAGTGATAATATGCACTATGAAAATTTATCAAATGAACTTTATTTAGCTGGGTTAAATCAAGTCCATTCGAATTGAAACAACATAAATTAAGCATCGAGTTTAAAAAATACATTCACCAAATAACCGTAACCATAAGACGATTAAAAGTATGACATTCTGACTAGACAAATTATTTGTAAACATTGGCAATAAGTGTCACAAAATCTTAAATAAATATTTGTTTTTTACTTTTATAATTTAGAGTAATGAAAATAAGTTTTTTTTTCATCTTTGTTAAAATATTAGTATGTAGTATCGTATGTCAGCATTTGTTTTGTTAATCTGATATGTCCTCTAGCATGGTCATTTATACGTTTGGATCAAAGTGTTATTCAAAAATTAAATTGAAAATCTCTTCAAAAATATTGAATTATATCCGTTAATCAATTTCTTGTGACAATAATAAAAAGGTACCCGTACTCCGATATTGTTATAGAAATAATAGCATTTACTAGAAAAGATGAATCAATGAAACCATCTCGTGTAAGCTTCAATGTAAAAATGTGTTTAAATTCTGTTTAAAATGAAAGTTACACCTTTCAGCATTACTTTCACTAATGATGTTAGATACATCAAAATGATAAGACATGGAAACAAGTTATCAAGTTTATATGGACTTACTGTTAGGTAGTTTTGTTATATCATTTAATACGGTAAGACTCCGAAATGTTGCCTATCATTTTGATGTAGTTATTGAAAAGTTACAATTCCTTTTTACTTTTTTCCTCGTTACTTTTTGCGATGGCGATCAGGAAAGGAATCATTCCAACCAACGATTCACCCCCCTTGAAATAAATAAATAATAATGTTTGATAAACACCATCGCGGTAACATAATAATTTATTTAAGAAACCCGAACTAAAGCTTGTTTGTACTTTTGCGAAATGTAACGTTTGAGATATTGTACCATAATTATAAAGTTATTTGTTTATTTTTTCAATAACCTCACTCGCTCGATCTGTAGTTTGTACACAATTCCAGAGGGCAACACTAGTGAAATACAGCCAATCAGAACCAAACTTACTAGGACTACTTCAAACCAATTGCAAAAAATATGCAAGAAATTGACTTCTAAACACATCGTATGATATCGCTACACATCGTTTTAGAGGCGCGAAGTCCGGGGTTCCATTCCTGAAAGGACCAATTAAGAAAATACTTTTCAAAACCTTATTTAATTCTGGGCATACTACGCAGTGACACAATTATCTGGTACTCATGGTACAGAGTAGTGATGCAACGGAAGCGTCATAACGGAAACAGAAACAGATGTCAGAAGTAAATATTAGCCGAAAAGGAAACAGAAACGGAAGCCGAAGTGTAAATACTATAAAGATGTAAATGAAATAGTTCCAAACAGGACTTGTGTCTGGTTTCATAATTACACACTTAACACAACACAAAACTGCTAAGACCTACGCGTCCCATCGCCAAGCAATACGTGCACGCGCCCGATCCATCGCGAACGATATAAACTTTCGATAAAACTTGCGGATGCAAAAACCGAAACAGACGTCAAAAAGCGTGAACGCGCGGAACTTCGGCTGTTACGGAAGCAGAAGCAAAGGTCTGTTGCATCACTAGTACAGAGAATTTGCTTAATGTGACTCTCTTGCACTTCAACATTATTAAATAAGACACAATTCAATAAAAGTATGAATAGCAAAGGTGCTCTGTTGTACAACATACAAGATCCAATACAAAAATACCAGTTTGGAATAGTCCGTAGCAGTGATGTTATATCGTTCTAGCGGCTCTATTTACTTTAAAACCCGTAAAGAGATCACAAGCTCTAAACTGCAAACTTCGTTGCATTTTACTATCGCTTTGTATATTCCCATTCCTCTCTCCGTCCACAATGTTAGAATATCTATAAATGGTTCTATTAATACAGAATTATGCCTAGTAACATCTAGAAATATTCATAACACCATGTACCAAACCATCTGTGCAAAAACCTTATGTGTATTTGTAAAACTAAAGGGTAACAGCACTCAATCTTTTTTACGCTACCAAGTGACGGGACGAACAAGTTTTGCGCCTGGTGGTAAGCGACACGCCTGTCCATAGATGTAGCAGTGCCACACAGAGCCCGTCACCCTGAGACATAAGTTAACAAGTCCCATGTGCCTTATTCTCAAGTCTTAAGAACTGTTATTTTTTAATTTTACTCTAAACGTCCAATAATGAATTGCCGCATCTAGTAAACATTTACAATCACAGTTTAAAATACTTGAATATTCAACATTTTTTTAAATAATTTTGCATAATATGAATAAGACAAGTATGGCAACTCCGTTCATACGCAGCAGCGTGACTTGTGATCACGCCTGTCGCATAATGAAAGGCGCATGAGACGATCGGCGCTTTGCAACGCGAGTGCATCACGAGATTATGCGAATATGTGCGTTCGTACATGACACGCGGCGGGCACTCACACATACGTTTGTATGAAGTTACCTATACTATACTTGTTGTATTATATTATAAATTTAGTTTTGAAAATTGGATCCTGCAGGTAAATTAAATCGGATCTTCATTTAAAACGCAAGCTGATTATCCATTACTCTGAAAATAATTACTAGCTGCACTGTACATGACTTCCACAGATCACTTGTTTACTAGATACCGCAACCCACCATACACCAACGAGCTCTTATTTCTTGATGGCGTTATCTTCGTGAGCCTTCTTAACGACGGCGAGCTTTGAATGAGGATCTTGAGGCTGCAATTGCGCATATGGAGGAGCTCGAGTGCCGTGGAGGACCAGTGACCAGCCACGGAGGAAACCTGAGGTTTGTGAAGGACTGGAGCCACCGTTGATTCGCGCCTGGAAAAGGAATTATTTGATTTTGGCTCCGAGATAAGGGTTGATATATGATAAACGGTTGCTTAAATAGCTCAAATCTAAAAAGAAATGCCAGTATTAAAAACAACAACTTGAAATAACCCTGATGTGAAAAGTTTGAAGCGTGGTTACGTGATGTGCTACACAAATGACCGTTCCTCAACGTGTTTCTAACATAAGATAATGTTATTACACGTTGTGTTGTATAACGTAAAATAACATGACATGCTGCCTACCTCCAAAGTCCAAATGCCTTGAGGATATTCTCCCCAGGTATGCGTGGTCATGAACGGCCATTTGGTAAACCCATCTCTAGAGTCGTCGTCGTTGGCACGCCTGCTCAGGATCATTGACCTGAAACACACGACCACAAATGTTCTTGTCTTTCGAACCAAAATCCCTTGTAAAGTTGATGTTAAACTTTAATCATTTTAAGCACTGAATTTTACACAACATCATGGATCCCGATGGCCCGTCCATGATATTTGTTGCAAAATACCACTCTGTGCCTTAATGCGATTTTTAAATATAAATTCTTAAAATTGTGTCATTACATTCTCTCGGAACAATTAAGTACGCCAATTAGCTTTACTGAAGACAAAATATGCATGAGGAGTCGAAATAGACAACCTATTAATATTTCCGATCAATAATTGTTTTTATAGTTTCTTACCTAGTTCCCATGGGACTAGTGAGGAAGAACTCGAGGTCTCCTCGCCGAGTGGAGTTGGCACTTACGACAGCCTGCACGTGTTCCAAATACCGCACCTCACTCGGCGTGCCAGCGCACGCTTTTGTGTCAATCTTCAAGGTGATACTGTTGCCTTTTTGAGGGATCTCACTGAAAAAGAAAGATATTAATGAAAGAAAAAATTATTTAACAACATATATCTTTCTCAAATCTAATATAAACTTACGTATGAGTGTTGACCGACCCCGCTTCACAGTGGTATCTAGGGGGCACTGATCGCCAGTTAGCAGCCAAAGCTGTCATGGCACCAGCATCCAGCACGCCGAATCCAAACAAATGGTTAAACTCCAGACCTACTCCATTCATCGTCCAGTGAAAACGACCCTGGAATTTAAGATGTGTACTGTTTGTGATAAGTTGTGCAAAGAAATTTAAGTTATGTAATGGCATATTCTGTTTTCAAACCCTTACTTGCTACGAAACATTAGCGTTTTATAGTGTACTTTTTCTTAAAATGCCTAAACGACGACATTTGATATTTAACCATCCAACAAAAGATGTTTTGAAATTGGTCTTACCTTTGCATCATACAATGAATTTCGTTTGGAAGTCAACACAGTCAGATGTTGGATATCTCGCCAAGTCAAGTTAGGACTGAAACAATAATACATTTTATAATAAATTAAAAACTTTTAAATCTGTTTTAATAAACATTCTAGTTGTATTATGTATACATATAAGTTTGTAATATGTAATGAGTGTAGGAAAGTCATTGAACTACACTTTAGATTTCATTCTTTTTTCATTTCATAGATTGAGCCCAAAGATTTCATAGACAAATTCAGCAGTGTTTCGCTAGGCGAGTACAAATCGTTCTTTATATTACGACGATTATATACGATTTATATAGAGACGTTTATTCTGGAAAGTAATATCATAAATTCCATGTTATTTCCCGAAAGATTCGCAAGATTTTCAAGGGTTGATTCCGCCAGTCAATACGAACAAATTTTTTTTGGGAACTGCGATATCGCAGAAACACACTCAGCTATACGAATGGATTCAATTGGTATAAAAATTTAGTCTGCTACTTATCACACAAATCTCGTCGACCTCTAGGTGTCACCTTATATGATAAAAGGTCATCAACTCACTTAGCATGAAGTGCCAAAGCAAAAACACCAGCAGCCTCAGGAGCAGCGGCAGAAGTTCCGGAATGGGTCGCAGTGCATTTCCCGTAAAGATCCGTAGTGGCCACACCGGTGCTGGGGTCTCTGGCTCCGTTGCTGAATGTGCTGGCAAGAGTTGAAGAGCAGGACTCGTCATAGTGCGCGTTTTGACCATCGTTAATGGCGCTAAAACAGATGATTGAATACAATGAAATACAATAGATTCGCAAATGTAGTGTTTGAAGAACGATGAGCTTTCGGTAGGCGTCTAAATAAATATTACGACAGAACCGATATTATGTTGTTTCGTAATGTCTACACTAAAACGTTCAGACACTTTCTAATTGGCACCGCCAGGCACTTCTCTGAGTATTCAGGTACTAGCGAGGGTATCCGATAGTGCGACCAGCGTGGAATTCAAAGTGTATTTCAATAATATTTAAGTTTAATTGAAAAGAGCAATCCCTAGAGTTTCTTATTCATTCTTCTCGGAGAATTCTTCTGAACGAACAGTAGCTTAAAAAATTACGTTTTCAAGTGTAAAAATGTTACCTATGGAATAAATAATTATTTGACTTAGACTTTAAAGTCCGGCAAACTGTAATCTTGTGCAACACGATGCAATGGGCTGCAGTACCAGTAGTGACGGGTTCTTGGTCCGGAAGGAGGACCCCAATAACGGGGACACAAAACACAGTAAACACTGAGAATTTTAAACTACGAAACGTCGATTGTTCAGCGCGGAGCTCGGTTAAAGAGAGAGGATAGGGATTAACATAGTATGTATGGTCGTCCCGAGGTCCGTGGTTAAATCTAAGAATAAAAAGAAAATAGGGGAGCTTATAGCTAGTTTAATAAAGTGGATTTCCATATAAACAATGTGATTGTTAAAATGCTCACAAATGTTGCCAATTAAAATGCATCCACATATGAACTTGATACTACGATAACACAAACTAACGCATCTATAGGTAGTGTATAAGCTCGTAATTGCATATGCAGTGGTGTGCCGTTCGCATAAACAAATACAACGACAAATTCTTCTGTAAACACACAAATACCATTACGCATGAAATATCGAGCTCTTGCTAATATCACTGTTCGAGAACACAAAAATTGTCATATCATTCATTCAATGTGCACGAAAAGAGCCTCCCCTCACGACGTACATTTCTTTTTCTATACGTCTGGTGTATCCTGGGCAACAATCGGCGAGTGCCGTACGCCGATTGGCAAATCCTTTCATTACGATGGCATGAAACACCGTATATCCATCGATACAATGCGTAGAAGTTGAATAATAGTAAGGTATAATAGTAGGAGTTGTATAATAGTAAGGTTCATTATATAACTTCTTATTTCTGCCGCCAAGCAGTAATGTCAGCATTACTGTGTTCTGATTTGAAGGGTAAGAGTTCTGGTGAAATTACAGGCACGTGGGACATGCCAACTTATGTCTCAGGGTGACAGGCGCAATGGCAGTGCCCCTCCGTTCTTTGCGATTTATAGCTCTGATTACCATCAGACGCACGACTTGTTCGTCCCGTTACTTGATATTACAAAAAAAGAGTTCTTATATTCATAACACTACCTATTGCAGAAAAGGTCCATGCGACTGTCATCACTAAGTTCCTTAAATATTATTTGATACGAGGAATTTAGTTAAGCAACTTATTATCTAGAAAAGGCCTGGAAACGCTTCTGTCGCTGAATACGCTATTCCATCATCATCTTTCTACCCTACTTAAGCCATTATTATATAATGCTGTAAGTTATACATACCAATTAAGATCAAATGTAATAAATATCTGACCTATTGATAGAAACGGTCCACATGGAAGCAGCATATCCATCACAGTTGCAATCATCATCTTCTCCGCCATCGCCGCTCGCCCACACGTAGATGTTACCGAGTCCGTTGCGTCCCTAAGGATCAAATTATACTCGTTAGGTCGAATCAAAGTAATTCAAGTTCAACGAGCAGGAAAAATTTACTCTATACAACCATGGTTTAATTAAATACACAAATATATAGCAGATAAATTTTTACACAAATTTACACTGGGAGTAGGCGAAGTGGAAGAAAGTACATTTCTTGACGTCATCCGATCTCTATTGAAGCGAAAATTCACGAAAAGCGGCGCGGCGTGTAACTAAATTCTTATAAAGAAATATTACCTTTGCCATAAATATCAATTTACCATGTTCCTCTAACAATGTTCTCAAAGATACATATCGATGTCTTACTGTCTCAAATACGTATCATAAAATGAGTAATCACTCTTAATAATCATTCAGGAGATGGCAAAAATTTATATTTATTTTAAATTTCTTATCAAGGGCGTTAGTTTGGATGTATTACTTTAAGAATAAGTAGAAGCCAGTTTGTGAATATCAAGGAAAGGTAATGTAAAATCAGCCTGCAAATTTATTTATTTATTTATTATTTATTTATTTATTTACTTACAGCTTTTCACCTACCATTACAGTAATAATCACCAATGCGGCAGTGTACATATTCAAACGTATATACTTATATAATAACTACATTACACTAAACATATACTAAAACAAAGAAATCACAAATATCAACTTAATACATTACAAATAACATATAACATACAGGGTCATTCTTGTAAATTCACACAGAGTGCATGAGAACAAGTCTATCCTGTCTGCAACATCATTCAGGATTCGCAGAGCTCTTGTGAACGGGGCCTTCTGGATTAGATTAGTCTGGCCGCGCGGGACTGCCAGTAAGCGCGGTTTTCGTCGCCTCACTACGTAATCATTGGGTACGCACAAAAACACCCGCTCCAGTAGACTGGGGTTAAAGATTAACCCTCTGATTATTTTAAAAAGTATCTGAGCTAATGCAAAGTCACGGCGTACCTCTAGCTTATTGTAACCTACCATGCCGAGTACGAACAAACTTGGATACACCTGTGGATAACATGGGTAAACACCATATATTTTGGCATACAAATGTCGCGTGAACTTATTCTGTATTCGCTCCATCATAGTTTTGTACTTAGCCTCATGAGGCGACCAGACAACTGCATTGCATTCGAGGTGGCTCCTTACAAGGGCATCATATAATGATTTTAATGCACAAATTTTGGTGAAGCCCTGCGTCTGCCTCAACATAAAGCCTAGGTTCCTGTAGGCTTTTTTACATACTTTGACAATATGTTCACGAAACGTCAACTGGGTTGTGAATAAAACCCCTAGATCTCGTATCTGGGAAACTTTTCGCATAGGAACAGAGTTTAGTCTATACTCGTACTGGATAAGTGTCCGAGCACGACCGAATGTCATCAAAGAACACTTTGCCTCATTGAAAAACAGATTATTAGCTTGACTCCACTGGACGACCCTATCTATGTCTCCTTGCAAGTGTTCACAGTCTCTCACATCTTTGACAGCCAACAGTAATTTTAAGTCGTCCGCATACAGCAAACAAGTGGCATGATGAACAACACTCGGTAAGTCATTATCATTATAATGAATTCAAGCGGGCCCAGATTACTGCCCTGGCTAACGCCTGATCCGGTACCATAAGTCTCAGATTCATGTCCCTCATAGTCTACGAATTGTTGCCTGTTACTCATGTAGCTGGAAAAAAACGTAAGCAAGTGTGGAGTGAACCCTACGCGCGCTAGCTTCGTCAATAAGATATCATTGTCCACTGAATCGAACGCTTTCTTAAAATCGAAGTACGCCGTGTCAACCTGAACACCAGTGTCTATATTCGGTGCCACGTATGACACAAAATTAAGTAGATTTGAAGTGGTACTTCTGCCTGGGCGAAAACCGTGCTGAGAGTCCGAGAATGAACTTATTTGCTCATACACACGCTTTTGTATAGCCGACTCGAAGATTTTGGCCGGAGTCGATAGTACCGCGACTGGCCGATAATCATTGACATTTGAGCTGGCTGTACCCTTCGGCACAGGTGTGACTCTGGTAATCTTCCAACAGCTCGGAAAGATGGCCGACTCTAAGCTTGCATTAAATATGTGTAAGAGCGGTTCTGCTAACTGTTTGCGACAATCTCTAAATATAAACGAGGGAATGCCATCCGGGCCTGCCGACCGCTTCGGCTTGAGGCTGGCCAGGGCAGTCTCCACATCCCGCAAGGTCAAAGTCTGTATATGCACACGTGCACTCGATGAGCCACCCGACCTAACAGCTGCCTCGACACTTAACACAGCCTGATCAGTGCGATAAACAGATTTAAAAAATGATGCAAATTCGGCAGCACTCTCAGGCTTTGTTAAAATCTTCCCTTCTCTAATGATCTGTTGTTTGCTCGATTCTCCCCTGATTGATCTAATATATCCCCAAATGGATTTTGGGTCATTTGCAAAGTTTGCCTGAATACTGTCCCTATATCGTTCGTGCGCACATTTAAGAGCACTCTTAATATTCGTCCTACACCTAGCGAATGCCATATAATCTTGATTTGATTTAGTAAGTTTGTACCGCTTATGAAGTACAGTTTTTAATTTAATGTTTCTTATGATATCTGCCGTATACCATTTGGGATAATTATACCGTACGTTAATGTGTTTCGGTTTTTTCCTTGGAACGCACGTGTCTAAGATATTAGTCACAATTTCATAAAAATAAGACAAGGCCTCTTCCGGATCTTGTATACTGAAGATTAAAGACCAATCCACAGATGATATCAAGTCATACAACAACGAAAAATCCGCCTTATACATGTTCCATTTGGGCCTTTCTGTTTGTTCACCCTCTATATAGGTACACTTACCACTGCTAGTCCGTGCTACCGGCACTCGAATATTGAGCGGTGGATGGTACGCGTCCACCGGCTCCAAAGTATCGTCTGCCGCTCGCACCTCCACTTCTCCGTTCTCAGCCGAACTTAGCACTAAATCCAACTGACGACCCATGCAGTTAGGTATCTCATTAAACTGTGTGAATTCACAAAATGACATGAAGTATTCGTAGTAGTTTAATACATTAGCTGGACATGAATGTAAATTAAAATCACCTAAAACAATTAAATTTTTATACCTACAACAAAGTTGCTCTATTAATCTAAACAAAATCATATATTCATTTTCGCTACTACGCGGTGAAATATAAACAACAGTGCACACAAACAAAAACTTTGAGTTTAGTTTACTATACACACAAACAGAGACAAACTCGAATGAGCGCGAGTCAATATCTACATCTGTGGGGGTAGGTATTTCTAGTAGCTCAAACCGATTTGTGGCCACGAAAAAGGCGCCTCTCTGTTTGCGGCCGTCCATACGATCACTACGTATTATTTTATATCCCGGTGGAATAATCTCATTATCATGTATCGATTCATTACAGCTCGTTTCAGTAATTGCGAAAAAATCTGAGTTTGATGATTCCAAATAATTTCGAAAGTTAGTTAATTTTGTTCTTAATCCCCGCACGTTCTGATAGTAAATTTCTACAAATCTGTTATGGTTTATTTGGCTTGTTTGTCGATTTTCGAAAAAAAATCCACTCACTAAACTCCGTATTTAGGGGCCATGCGTCTGGTTGACACAATTTGGGATACTCCCCCTCCGGAACTGTGACACGAAATGAGGCGTATCCTCTGTCATTTTTATGCTGGATTCTCTCGATGACAGGGAGAACGTCCTCGCCACACACTTTTGTAATATGCGCTGATAAAGTTTCACATGATGTATTGGGGTGTAGTCGCCATACATGGAGATGCTTTTTGCGCTCCGATGCCTGTAATGTACTTATATTCGTATTTTGACCTCTGCATACATTCTTCGATCGACGCTTTTCCTTTTTACTACTGACAGGTATCCTAACTATTATCGTGGTTTTCGTTTTCCTCAGTGACTTTTTCTTTATCTAAGTTGTAATGATTTATTTGAATTTTTTGGCTACTTGATCCAAGTTGGGTGGTAGCGGAACAGGTTTCCGCTGGCTTTGTCAACTTCGTGGCCCCACCTTTAGATGTGTTGTTAATGACGCTTTTATTAACAACATGGTTTTTACTCAACGCCTCTGCAAATGATCGTAACTGCTTTTCAGTCACCTTCTGAGTTTCATTATGCATATTTGCTAGCTTCTCAATTTGATTTTCAGTTATTATGACTTCCTTAGACTTTTCTTCAACTACCCTCAAATTTTGACTTAATTCAGTCAAATCAACTTTGGTTGAAGACAACAAGTGTATTAACATTTTAATAACACATTCTTGCTTATCCAACCGATCCATAACTTCCGAACGAAATGCTCTCAGTTCTTCCAGCACCCTGTCGTTAGTTTCCACCTTAGGGGCTGACTTCGTACGGCTCCCGCGCTTGGTGTTGATATTATCACTGCTGCTCGTATACGTTTTATTCATAGTTGGTGTATAACTACATATTGGCGTGTCACTATTCTTGCCCTTTGGATGAGAGCACACACACTCCGGACATATCCATTCAGTCTTATCGTCTTCAGAGAACGTTTCGAACAATTCCTGTTTTATTGCAAGACACTTCAAGTCGAAAAACTTCTTGCAGTGTTCGTTCGAACATTCCATATATAAAATATCATATATAGTTTCACCACATCCACTACACTTCGTACACATTTTCCGCACAAATAACAAACAAATTATGCAGAATATTACGTGAATAAATTCACCACAATGAATAAATACGTCCGCTTGCGTTGACTGCTCGCGCGTCATCAAATTGGTATATACAATGCTTATTTTGCATTTCAGTTACTTTGTTCTCTAAGATACGAGTTTGAGAAAGTAAGGCGACGATATAGGTAAACTAATTTTAGATCTAATTACATACATAGCTTTAAATACATTAGCTTCAGATGGTAATGTCACCGATACTGGCGTCGCGGAAAATTTCGCTAGTTAAGGGCGAATTTCCAGTTATCTATTCGATATGTCTCTA